TCCGGACTTACAGTCTACAAAATGTCCTGTTTTACACAGTGAAACTCTCCCTCGGCCTGTTTACGTTTCAAAAGTGATTCGCATGCCCTCATAAACAATGATGTTGCCGAATTCACAGAAATCGAAACATTCTACCAGTGGAAGTGAATGGGAGGGTGAAACATCTACGCCAAAGTTATTTTCTCAAAATGAACTCAGTGATTTGATACGGGATCTAAATTTATCAAAACAGGAATCAGAACTGTTAGCGTCAAGATTGAAAGAAAAAAATTTATTTGCACCAACAGTAACAATTACAACATACAGAACGCGAGAAAGTTAGCTATTACAATTTTTTGATGAAAATGAAGGACTGGTATATTGTACTGATATTGCGAAGCTGCTTTTAGACATGGGCTTGGAAGAATACAAACCTACTGAGTGGCGTCTTTTTTATTGACAGCTGTAAAAGAAGTTTAAAATGCGTCTTACTGCACAATTGAAATAAATTTGCATCAATTCCAATTGCCCATTCAACAAAACTCAAAGAAGGATATGAAAATGTAAAATTAGTTTTAGAAAAAATTAAATACTTGGAGCATCAATGGCCGATCTGTGTAGATTTGAAAATGGTTAATTTTTTACTTGGTCAACAAAGTGGATACACGTAATACCCTTGCTTCCTTTGTATGTGGGACAGTAGAGCAAAGCAACTTCATTGGGAACAAGATGTTTGGCCTGCAAGAAATTCTCTAACTGTCGGTAAAGCCAATGTCATAAGGGAACCGTTGGTGAACAGAGACAAAATCATACTTTCACCATTACATATTAAGTTAGGAATGGAAAAGCAATTCGTTAAAGATTTGGACAAGGAAGGGGATTTTTTTAAATACATTTGTCGAAAATTTCTGAAGCTTAGTATGGAAAAGTTGAAAGGTGGAATATTTGATGGTCCTCAAATACGGCAATTGATAAAAGACGCAGATTTTATTAAAGTTATGACTGTTCCGGATAGTGAAGCTTGGGAAAGTTTTGTGTTGGTAATTGAAAATTTCCTAGGTAACCATAAAGCACTAAATTATGAAGAAATTGTACAAAATATGCTGACAAACTTTCAGACTCTAGGAGCAAATATGAGTATCAATTTACACTATCTCCGCAATCATTTGGATAAATTTCCAGATAATTTAGGAAATTGTAGTGAGGAACAAGGAGAGCGGTTCCACCAGGATCTGAAAGTAATGGAAGAAAGATATCAGGGTCGATGGGACTGTTATATGATGGCAGATTACTGCTGGTCTTTAAAAAGAGATTGTCCCCGCAAAAATTATAAAAGAAAAGCTCTTAAAAGGCGTTTTATGGAAATATAACATGTTTTCCAAATTTTCCTCTCTATTTACTTCGATATATCATATTTTTATCCAAATAAAACTGAGATTATAAATATATCTGATATTTTGTTTCTCGTTTTCCGATTTTTGTAATGTAAAATAAAAATAAGTATTTAAAAAAAAACGAAAGCAAATCTTACAAAATCATTCATAATTTCATGAATTGTGAGTATAAATATATCCAAAATCAATCTTATATCTAGGGCAACAAAACCACTGTAGACCAGTGTTATTAGATAGCTCGGACTGGGATTCGAACCCAGAATCTTCCGAAGACATGTCGGCTACTCTACCATTTGAGCTATCCGGTCTATACTAAATTTCCTTTCACTTATTCTATATACATTAAGCCACACCGTCCATCTTACGGTTAGCATTTTTAACAAATATAAATAATGCTGTGAAACGGGAAAGAATAGGAGTTACGGATAATTTATTACGTGAAGCGTCCCAACATTCACGTAACATGATATTTTGGTAGGAAAGGATTGAGAAAGGATTGTGGAGAGGAACTTCTTAATTATACAAACTATAACTAGTATGTATAATCATCTTAATGTGAGTTTATAGAATTAGAATTATTATTGTTAGTAATTATTTTTGTTGATTAGAATTAGAATTCGTGATTAGAAAACAATTAGAATCATAATTGTTAATTGTTAATATAGAAGTAGAACTAAGAACTATAAAATAGTAAAGATAAGTGTATTATACAAATAATAATTACTTAATTACAAATGTATACTAGACATAATAATAAATAATATATTATAATATAATAAATTTAATTTAGATTAATAATTAAATCTCTGTATAATTATCATAAGATATTTATAATAATTCGATGGATAAATCCATCCAGGACTAATCAAAATCTCTACCATTATCCCCGGTAGAGGTTGTAACGTGGTAAGCCGTTATATAATAAGGCCCGTTGTAACAGGCCGCTCTTAGCGCCACCTGTTAAGACGTTTTTTTTTTTGATGATAATTTTATTTTTGTTTGATTTTGAATTTAATTTAAGAAGAAATTTAAATTCTCTCGAATTTATTTTGTTGTCCATTGGTTGGATTCGCCGCGACCGAGTAGCCCTCTCGCGAGATAATCCGACCGAAGCTCGATTGCGCGCGAAAACAAAAATGTATTGCGATTAAGAATTTAAATTAGCAAATAAGTTAGTTTTAAGTAATAGTAATTGTAAGAATGGTACGTATGACCGGTCACGAACCCGCGAAGAGAGACCAACGAGGAGTATCGACGTGGATTATCTGCAAGATCATCGACGGGCGGATGGCTGTCTCGAGAACGAGCAGGAACGACGGACTTACTAGAACTCGAAGTGAGCAATCGACGCATGTGTGAAGGTGAAAAACTGGCTGTCGAACGCGCCAATGCTCCAGCCAGTAAATCATTCAAACGTCGATATTGGGAAATTGGACTTGCGGCGCCATCTCTGGAGTTCAAAGCTAACGACGGACCCAGCAAAGAGGGGAGAGACGAGGAATGCGACATGTGCTTATTTTTTCCTGCTTCCACGTTTTCCACTTGCCGCGTACGGATGTAATTTTCTGTTCTGACTTTGGTTATTTCTTTGATTGCCTGATTTTTGAGATTTATTACAAAGAGTATTTTTGTAATTTATTGTTTTTTTGAAAATCTGAGTATTTCTTTTAATTAGCCACGACGTAGTGTGCTATATGTTGATTATTGTGTTTAATTGCGATTGTGTTTTTTGCCAAAAATTTATTACGGCATTACGACGATAATTGGCTGTCGCCAATTATTTATTTAATAGAAGCGTGATCTATTACGGCGTTGTATTTGGATGATCGTTAATTGACGTGTGCAAGTGACGAAAAATCAGCACGTACCCTCGCCGAGGAAGCTCATTGTACGAGATCGTTCGACGTGGAAGCCGAGTGCGACCTGGTGTGGCCAATCGACGGACAACGTAGATTTACGTCTTAGACCAGGGTGAGTGCCACGGTTTTTCTTAGATAAATAGCTCGTGGAATTTATTTTTTTTAAAGAAATTTTTTTTGTTTTTTTATCAATTATTCGTAATTAAACTCTTGCTGCTTGGTGTGACACATCGCCAAGGAATGTCAAGGTTGCATTAAGTCAACCAGTAAAATTATAATCCCACGAGGTATTTCGGTACCGCCATTGTTGTTATTTCTTTTTGTGTACTAATGTATGAAATTTAAAATTAAAATTGTCACTATCATTTTTCGTCTTCGACCAGGGTGAGTGCCACGGTTTTTCTTAGATAAATAGCTCGTGGAATTTATTTTTTTTAAAGAATTTTTTTTGTTTATTATCAATTATTCGTAATTAAACTCTTGCTGCTTGGTGTGACACATCGCCAAGGAATGTCAAGGTTGCATTAAGTCAACCAGTAAAATTATAATCCCACGAGGTATTTCGGTACCGCCATTGTTGTTATTTTTTTTGGTGTACTAATGTATGAAATTTAAAATTAATATTGTTATTATTATTTTTTTGTAATTTCGACGTTTACTCCCGGGATAATCGACGAGGTCGATTATCCATTGATCGAGCTTCGGATTCGTGCGGATCAATTACTTATTTATTAGTTAAATCCGGCGAATAAACAGAAGTTAGTTTAATTAGATTAATTGTTAAGTAATTTTATAATAAATTAAAGCCGGCGAGTGTAATAACTTATTATATAATTTAATTATTAATTAACTGCGGCGAATGAATTTTTTATTATTATTATTATTAAATTAAATTCGGCGAAGATTTGAAAAGTTAAATTAAAAATTAACTATGATTAATTAGTTATTTGACTGCTATCAATTTCAATCGAGCGAAATTTATAAACAAAAATTTTTTTTTGTTAATTAACTGAACGATTGAATTGAGCGACGATTTATTAGTAGATAATTTTTTTTTGTTAATTCACAAAAATTAGCTGAATTGAACGACGACTTACTCTTAAACAATTGCGAGCGACGAGTAGTGTTTAATTAGTTTGTCTAATTGTTAATTAACTGTAATTAACTGAATTTAGCGACAATTGATAAACAAGTAAAATTTTTTTTGGTTAATTAACAACAACTGACTGGGACGACGATTTATATTTAACTATTTTCAATTAATTGTGATTAATTGAATTTCGAAGACGTTATTTTATTATTATTATTAGTATTAATTGATTAATGAATTGCAATTAAATTAAGCGAAGATTTAATTTTTTTTTTGTTATTTAGTTGATTGGCTGCGATTGAGTGAATTGCGGGGAGATTTAATTTGTTGCTGTCGTTAATTGATTAGATTAACTGAGTGAGCGACGTTTATTTGTTTTTGAGAGTGTTGATTGAAATTAACCGAAGTATTTTTTTTTTTTGGAAAAAGTTTGAAGTTGTTGTCTTGCGAAACTGCGTATCGACGGCGTATCGACGAGATCGTCGACGACTATTATTTTTGCGTTTAATTCTTCTATTTTGTTAATATTGAACACTAATTGAAGTTATTGTTAATAAATTAAGAGTTTATCTTTTTTTCAATTAATTGCGAGTTAATACGAGTAGTCCCGATTACTTTCCTCGTTCCTCTATAATTAAGTCGTACCCTTAAGGCCCGCCACCCGACGGAAGGAGTCCCGGACCGGATTAGCCGGACATCGACGTGATTGGAGCAAAGCTCCTGGCGCCCAACAACAGGTAAAGCAGGTAGGCCAGGTTATTTATTTCGGGCTTCGTCCTCGCTAACGCACGAGTACGAAAATACCCGTTATATAATTATAACCGTTTAACGGCCGTTTACCACGTTACAACATCCTCAATGTTGGATAATCTTTCTCTTCCTATCTGGTTGCGCCGGCATAAGACTATTGTGGAGAAATTTCGCACTTTTCGCAAAAATCTTGACATGCAAAGATACGCCCAATCTAGCAGCTTACAGTTTCCCCACTCGAATCACTATTCCCCAGCCCGCCTACTACTCATCTGCCCCCATCGTTTGGCTAAACCCAAGATTTAACTAAGACTGGCCTCTGTTTTTGTATACAATATAACACTAGAAGGCATAACACACAAATTCATGCCAATTCAAATCTGCACGCAATGCCATTGCTTCAAGGAAGAATCTGCACTTCATCTCCTAATCGAATGTCCTGCATACGATCACCTCAGAACGAAGTACTTTGATCACTGTGTCACGAACGGAGTTTGTGATGGGGCGTTAAGGCTATGAAATAATCTCAAAACCCAACCACTAGTTCCGAACGATAACTAAATTAATTTTTATATTTTTATACGAGTATATAGAGCGGTTCATATACCGTATTATTCCCAAACCTTACTATGATTACAAATAGTGGCTTAGAAATTTGAAAGGATGTTTGGATCCTGCTGACTTCGGCCTCGGGAAGCCTATTCCACTGTTTATGAATTTATGGAAATTAACTCTAAGTAAAATTAGAAGAAAGAAAATATTTAAAAAATGTTAATTGTTTAAGTTTATTTTATGACAAACTTGTACACTTAAGGAAAAACAAGATAAAGATCATGCATTAAAATGCTAATATGTGTTACAAATAGAAAAATAAAAATAAAATATATGAATAGGTTACTTTTCTTGACTTGTTGCTACCTGCTGAGACAACGTAGTAGTATTAGGTAATGATTTTGAAGAACACTTTTCGTGATTATTTACTTAATATTAGACTTCGCGTTTCGCGATAAAATGAAAAATGCGCCCTTTTTGGCGGAAAATTAAGATTTGATTCAACGCTTCTTCGCGGAATATTTAAATTTTGTCTTCGCTTCTCGCGGAAATTTATGCACACAAAGAAAAATAATAAAAAAAACTATTTATGCTATAATCTGTTACACGTTTCCGACCAAATAAATTGCTAACTGATCAGTGATGCAGCTCTTTGAATTTAATTGCTATGCCGTGCAAGACTTACATCAATATCGGTTCGAAGTACATCGAACACCGGGAATAGAATGCTCTAGTGATTTCAGATTACGTTAGTGCCTTTTGTAAAATTTAAAATTTACGAAAAGCCTAACCACGAACATCAAAATAATGCCCGGAGCACAATAAAAACTGTCGGCGTCAGGAACGTCGAGACTTTCGAAGTTTTACTGTAGACTGATTTGTAATAATTTTTATCGAGCTTATAAAGGGACATCAATTTCGATGTAGTGGGAAAACAGATGGTACCTATGCGTTAGAAAATTTTAGAAGTATCGATAGTATGACTCAAATTCATGTGCGTTTCACGTGATCGAGTGACTACCGAACATGCACCAGAGTACAGTCATAGGTAAATACAGGTGTTAAGGGCGACACGTTTCTTCACCGGAAATTCGGAGTCTAACCGTTTTTCAAGACAATATAACCAAATGTTGAAAATACTTGCATCAGAAGGTAGCATCAAGTGTACAGCTATCATAATGTTTAATAAATGTATTGAACACTTAAGTAAATAAGTAACCGAAAATTTAGAAATATTAAAAGTTGAAAAATATATATAAAATAAAATGAAAACTTAATATAAAAAATTTTATAGATGTGAGATTAAATTGTAAAATTTTGGCAAGATATGACCCTTACATACGTCACATCTCCATGCTTAAGAAATTAGATAACTTAAAATTGAGAAATATTAAAATTAAAAAAATAAAATAGTGAATTAAATATTAAAAATTTTAATGGGTAGAAGAAAAAAACAAAAATATTGAATTTTAGCAGACGTTACAACTGGTTGACAGCTGACCCACTTCATCAGCAGACCTTCTTGTACCATTAGAAGAGAACTCAGCAATGTCCACAAATGCACTATATTTGTTCTTGTGTGAAGCAATTTCTTTAAGAAGAAATAACTATGCTCTAAGTAACTAAATAAAACGTCGTCTCTCAGGCTGGCTCTTGTTTCGTCGTATCTATTAAAACTATAATCTCAAATTATTACTTGTATTTCTCTTTTCGCGAATCTAATTAATCTAAGTATCGTGCTTTAAGGAAATTGGTCCTAAAATTTGTACGTTAAATTTAATATATATATAAAAATAAAAAATTTGCTATTTTCTATCAATTTGTAATATTCTCACAAATTTGATGTATATACATTAGAAATTAACTTTCTTTGTTGCTGTAAGATGGACAGCGGTGATTTCGGTCGAACTCACTTCCCCCCTCCCCGGCGCTGTGGTAGTAGCCCTGGACGGGGTGGTTGTGGTGAGTAGCATAAAATAAAAAAATTTGCTATTTTCTATCAATTTGTAATATTCTCACAAATTTGATGTATATACATTAGAAATTAACTTTTTGCAAATTTGCGAATATAATTCTTGTATATATATATATATATATATATCCTTTTTCAATCAATTGATAATTTCCTCTTTGTGATTTTATTATTTTTAACACCATTTTAACTTATAAACCTAACTAATTACAATACTTTATCCACGTGAATGAGCTTCGAGTATGAATGAAGGAAAGGCAAAATGGAAAAATGGAAAAAGAAAAACTATCGGGTGAGTCATTCATTAGTCAGCAAATGATGGCTCATGGTGAAACTCA